AGTGTCCACTTACTCTGTTCAAACAACTGCCTCTTGGTCTATATACAGGTTCCACGATTAAGTGTTCTGGAGTACTTAATCATTCTCCATAGTGTTGCCCATAGCTTGTCATAATCCATATAGTCAAAAACCTTTGTATAGTCAATAAACCATAGGTTTATTGTATCTCTGTATTGGTATTGGTATTGGTATTCTCTGTATCCAACCAAGATCCATCTGACCTCAGCAATGATATCCCTTGTTCCATGTCCTCATCTGAATCTGACTTGAACCTCTGGAAATTCACTTGCGATGTACAGTTGTATACATTTTTAAGTTATCATTAGCAAAATTTTCTTGCATGTGATATTAACGGTATTGTCCAATGACTACTGCATTCCATTGGGTCACCTCTCTTTGTAATGGGCAGAAATATGAATCTGTTCCAATCAGCTGGCCACTCCAAATTTCTTGACATAGATGAGTGAGTGCTTCCAGTGCTGCGTCAGTTTGCTAGAGGATTTCAATTTCTATTCCATCAACTTCTGGAACCTTGTTCTTTGCCAATCAATGCCTTCAGTGCACCTTGGACTTCTTTCTTCACTGCCCTTGGCTCTTAATCATGTGCTATGTCTTGAAATGGTTGAATGTCATCCATTTCTTTTTAATATAGTGACTTTGAATGTCTTCCATCTTCTTTTCATGCTTTCTGCATCATTCAGTATTTTGCCCATAGAATCCTTCAGTATTACATGTCGAGGCTTGAATTTTTTCTTCAGTTCTTTCAGGTTGAGAAATGCTGAGCGCATTCTTCCCTTTTGATTTTCTAACTCCAGGGTTTTACATGTTTCATTATAATACTTGACTTTGTCTTCTCAAACTGTCCTTTTAAATTTTCTGTATAACTCTTTTACATTCAGCTCTTTTGCATACCAATTACCAGTAATTATCAGGACATCTTGATTGCATGTGTGATCAATTTCAGACCGAAGAAGTTGATAGCATTGGCCAATGTCTTCATGACTGGATTTAGTGGTTTTTGTGTCCATTGGACTAGTAGTGGTATTAACTGGTCTTTCTTGTAGATGAATGGATATTATCCTATCACAAACAGCATTGCACTTCCAGACAGATCTTGAAATGTTCCTTTCAAAGAAGAATGTAACACCATTCCTCTTCAATTTGTCATTCCTGGCATAGTGAACCATATGATTGTCAGATTCAAAATGGCCAATACCAGCCCATTTCAGCTCACCAATTCCTATGATATCAGTCTTTATGTGCTCCATTTCATTTTCGACAACTTCCAATTTTCCTAGATTCCTACTTTGTACATTCCTCCTTTGTACAATGGATGTTTACAGCTGTTTCTCCTCATTTCAAGTTGTGCCCGATCAAATGAAGGTCCTGAGAACTTTACCTTATTCACATTATCACATTCAACTGTACTTTGAGGAGTCAGCTCTTCCCCAGTGGTATTGTGAATGCCTTCCAACCTGAGGGGCTTATCTCCCAGAGCTATATCTGAAAATATTCTGGTGCTCATCATGTTTAAGTATTTAGTATTCTGGTGCTATCTAACAATGTTCTACTGCTATTCATAAGGTTTTCAGTGTTCAGTGGCTGAGTGTTCTATAGTGTGCCTCTCCTTCTTCCTAGTCTGTCTTAGTCCGGAAGAGTGGCTGAAACCTGTCCACCATGGGGTGCCCCTGCTCGTATTTAAAGTATTGATGGCAGAGTTTCCAGCATCAGAGCAATACTCAAGCCACCACAGTACAGAGAACTGACAGATGAGTGGTGGAAAGAGAAAGGTAGCAGTGAGCTACTTTCTCTGGTATTATCTGATCCTGACTCTAACATTCCCAGCAAATGACCAGTGATGGGTGATTGACTAATAAGTAAGCTATAATTTGGTGTCATTCAAGTTCACGCTAACTCATGACAACTCCACATGTCTCAGAGTACAGCCTTGCTCCTTGGAGTTTTTAATGGCTGATTTTTATTTATTTATTTGTTTATTTATTTTGAGGTAGATCACAGGGTCTTTCTTCTGAGGCCCTTCTAGGTAAACTTGAACTTCTAACCTTTCAGTTAGCAGTCAAGTGTGGTATCTATTTGCAGTACCCAGAGACTCTAAGATAGTTGTTGTTAGATGCTGCCAAGTCAATTCCAACTTATGGCAACCCATGTGTTATAGAATAGAACTGTTTCATAGGGTTTCTTGGCTGGAATCTTAAGGCGACCACTTGTTTGTCAGTTTGCTGTTCAGTGGTAGCATGTGTATTGTTGTGATGAGAGAAGCTATATCACCAGTATTTCAAGAACCAGCAGAGTTACCCATGGTGGACAGATTTCTGCAGGGCTTCCAGACTAAGATAGACTAGGAAGAAGGAAGAGGTGGTTCGCTTCTGAAAAACTAGCCACTGAAAACCTTATTATGAATAGTAGCAAAGCGCCAGACAGTGAACCCCTCAGTTTGGAAGGACATAGTGACTGTAACAATGGGTTAAAACATAAGAACAGTTGTGAATATGGCAAAGGACTGGGCACCCTTTCATTCTGGTGTACAGAGAGTTGCCCTGAGTCAGAACCAGTTCTTCAGCACACAACAACAACAGTCTTACAGGAAGCAGTTACCAAGCCTATCTTCTACAGAACCTGGGTAGGTTCAAACTGCCAACTTCTAGGTTAGCAGCCAAGTGCAGACCATTATGTGGTGTTTAAAACACTTGACTGCTAACCAAAAAGTTAATGATTCAAACCCTGCTACACAGGAAAAAGAGGTGACCATGTGCTTTCATTACGATTACAAACTTGAAACCCTGTGGGGCAGTTGTATTCTGTCTTATTAGGGTTACTATGAGTTGGAATCAACTCAGCAGCAATGGGTTTTACCACACCAGGAAGTAACCCGAATAAAACACTTCCCAGACTTATTCATGGCTATTCTACTATGACGGAGTCCTGGTGTGGCATTGAAGGATAAGCACTGGACTGCAAACCACAAAGTTGGCAGTTCAAAGTCACCAGTTACTCCTCAGAAATCCTATAAAGGGTCACTGTGAGCTGGGTACATATTGTTGTTAGGTGCCATTGAGTCTGTACCAACTCATAACGGCCCTAGGCCTTGGTGGTGGTGGTGACATGCCCTGGAGTCGGATATGACCCATAGCGACCCTATACAGGGTTTCCGAGGCTGTAAATCTTTCTCCTGCAGAACAGCTAGTAGTTTCAAACTGCTGACCTTGAGGTTTGCAGCCCAATTTGTAACCACTATATTACTAGAGCTCCTTGGCCATAACAGGGCTTTAATCCAGGACTCACTGTGAAATTGAAATAGATCCATTTTTAAAAACAAATTGGGTGAAGCAGAATGATAACCAGAACAGGAAACATAATGGACAGAGTCCTGGAATGGCATAGGGAACCTGATGCAGGAGATTAGATTATTGCCAGGACTGTAGAGAGCTGTACACCTTCAAAGAGGCATGATTGGTCGCCATCTTTGAGCCTGGCACCCTTGTCTCAAGTGGTCAAAAGATTTGGCTGCTGTGCATTGTGCACACTGCCCTCATTTTCTAAGAAGGTGATTAAATTTCTAGCAATACGCTGACCCACACTGTTTCCCATTTGGGTTATTGTTTCGGTCAACCCACATTTTACCCATCCAGGTCCATTCCGGTTCTGTTTCATCAGCCATGACTGCTCCAGAAAGAGTCAGTTCAAAACCCAGTAAATAGCCTTTCTCAGATGCTTCACAGTCACTTTGTAAACAACACAAGGCTTGCTTTCTTTACTTCTGCCTTGGCCACTACTGGTGTTTGTGCCTCACACAACAACACCGTTGTTGGTCCTTATGCCTCTTAAGAGCACGTTACATGGTCCTGAGACTAGCCTTTGTGGAGGCTTTGAAATAATAAAGATCTCATTAGATCACAACAAAGATATGAAACTGCATCAAATTAAAGGAACCCTTTCATTGGAAACTCGAAAGTCTGTTTGGGGAACGTACTAAAACTTTGATTTTCTGATGATACCCTAACTTTCCAAGACAGATGCCTAGTGAACTGCTGATTCTTATTTATCTTGTTTTCTGCCAGATTTCAAGGTTTGTTCGAGAATGGAGTAGCCTAACCGTCATGAAGCAAAGGATTATCAGGAAAAGCGGTCAGCTGTTCCGTAGCCCAATTCTTGCTTTGGAAGAGATAGCAAAGCAACAAACCGAACAGAACAGTACCAAAAGGTAAGACTTGTCTTTCTGGTTTTATTTTGTTTCATTATTTTTCATTTGTTTCATTACTTTTTATGGTCTTTTCTACATGGAATCCAAGGCATTTTATGTAATCATTAATGAAATCTGGTGAGTTTAAGAGAATTGTACTTAAATAACAACTGATTTTATAGCTGTATAATTTGAGAATTTAAAAAATTGACCAGATCTATTGAAAAAGATCCCTCTTGTCTGGATCTTGCTCGTTATGAGTCCCACTCATCAGTAGAGAAGCCAGAGTCAGTGTTGGTGCATCCTGTAACCTACACGCCTGGGACACTTGGTAACAACAGGAAGACATTTTTTTCTTAGAACAGTGCCTCTTGCCTTTCAACCCCATCTGCCCTACACTCCAGTGGTGTGGATTTGGGGTGCTATTGTAGCAGGAAAGCTGGTTCTAACTGAATGGACCACCACCCAAGTGGTAACTGTCATCACAGCCCTGACTGGAAATCGAATGGAAGGATAATTTAACTGGAAGACGAATCTGATTGCTTTGCTTCTATCATTACAGGTCCTTTTCTAATCTCTGCGTCTTTCTAGTCTCTCCTTTGTTGACATCACAATCATCTGTGCCTAGCTCTAGCATTCCCTTACGTGAGCTCAACCCCCCTTCTCTGTAGTCTCTTTTCTTAGCATGAAGCGAGGGTGATGAGGAAAGTGGTCAGAAGCGCTGGCAATCACTTTATGATTTCTCCTATGTAATCTTTTCCACACACCCACAAAGAAAAGTCTATCAGATAGGAGGTGAGATTAGGTGGCTAATTAAATAAATTATGCTACCTCCAGGAGTCCTGATAAAGCAATAGACCACAAGGTCAGTTTGAACCACAAAGTTGGTAGTTCAAACTCATCAGCTGCTCCTTGGAAAACCTATGCAAGATCGCTATGAGACAGAACTGACTCAATGGCACTTAACAACAGCAACAATCTCCTTATAGTGACAGTCTCTTTAACTGTTTCAGTGTATCAGGTATGGTATTCATATGTAAGTACATAGAATGATACTCATGAAAAATGGTTAAAAGTAAAAATAATAGTAATTAAAAAGGTTGGACATGCAAGTATATCTGAGTGCCAATAGTGACATTGAAAGTGTCTGGAAAGATCTTAGAAACCTTGCCAGAAGTTTTCTGTGAAGCAGTGGTTTTAAACCAGGGGCAGTTTTGCCCCACTGAGTGCAAGTATCTGGCGACAGTTCAGATTGCTATGAGTGGGAGCTGATGCTGGTGGGCATGCCTATAAAAATGCCACATTGAACAGAGCCACTCCCCACCAAACAGAGAGTGGTTTGTTTTTCAAGGTCAATAATGCTGCTGGTACTCTAGGGTTTAACAATGGGCTATGGTGGTGGCGGTAGGAATTTTTACTTTATATGCCAAGATCTCAGACTCGTATGCCCCAAAGGCATTCCTTGGTGACCCTTACCCAGAAGCTGCTCTCCCTAGTATGTGCTCGCTTCTGTACTTTACCTCCTCTTTTGAGGACACTCACTGAACAAAGAACCCCTCTTTCCAAGCAAGATTGCATCACAGGTATAGGTCTTAGGCTGTTTATTTGTATGGATGTATATTTTGGGGAATACTACTCATGCCATAGGAAATACCACAGCTGACCCCCAAAGCTAGTCAGCAACCTAGAACCAAGGTTTGTTTTCAATGGTGTGGACCACTTTGTAATGCACATACTTCTGTCCTTGCAAAAATTGCCATTTTTAACTCCCACCCCAACCCAGGAATCAGTTTGGCCAACAACATTCTCTCTTCCCTACTTATCAAAACTGGGACTTTACAGTAATCCTTTTGAGAGTTTGTATATTTACTTGAATTTCCTAGCAAACCTCAGTGGAGAATTAAATATTGAAAAATTTCTACAAGCTTTGAAAAGTTGCCAACCCCTGTTCTGGGATTGGTTGATTTGTTTCTTGTGGTTTACATAAGTTTGTGTTTAAAACTCTTGTAGGAAACAAGAGTTTATTTTTAGTTCCTAAGTCCCTGAATAGATTTCTCAGCACCTTTCAAAGTTACAGAATTAGGTTTCTAAGCTTTAAAACAGTGAATAATACCTGAGGCAAGGATTAATATCCTATTCCTCCTGAAAGTTAGGAAGCTTTTGAATTCATTTAAGTCCACAAAAATACTTTAGGGGAGTGTTTTTGTCAAGGGAATAAAATGGCTGAAGAAATGGGGGAAGTTTAAAACTAAAAAATGCAAGTTAAAGAACTCTAAAACAGTTCACTATGATATAACTTATTTTTGTTTTAAGAAAGACAAAGTGAACATGCAAATATATGAAAGTAGAATCACCCCATACTGTTAATAGGAGAGATGAAAATGTGAAGCTGGAATGAGATAAATATCAGTACTAGCAGAGACTTTAATATGTGAAATACGGTCCGGGAGTCTTGGTGTGGCACCATAGGATCAGTACTGGACCGCTAACTATAAGGTCAGTGGTTCAAACCCACCAGTCATTCCTTGGATACCCTATACAGGGCCACTATGAATCAGAACTGACTCATGGGCACTTAACAACAGCAACAATGAAAGTATGAGATTATATTTATCTCATACACTGCTGGTGGGTATATAAATTGATACAATCTCAAAAAAAGAGCCATTTGTCCAAATCTATCCAAATTTAAAGAAACCATGAATTTCGACCCAACAACTCTATTTCTGGGAAATTAGTCTGTATATACTTAATGTCCCCACTTCTGGACCAATAAATGGCAGAGTGAGAAATGAAGAAAAGATAGAACTTATCAAAGACTTCATTTTGCTTGGATCCACTATCAACTCTCATGGAAGTTGTTGTTATGTGCCGCGGAGTAAATTCTGACTCATAGCGACCTTGTTGTTGTTGTTGTTGTTGTTAAGTGCCGTGGAGTTGATCCATAGCAACTCTGTATAGGGTTTCTGAGGAGCAGTTGGTGAGCTTGAACCGCCGACCTTGCAGTTCAAATGGCTTTGCAGTCTGGCGTATTAACCCATAGCGACCCTGTAGCAGTCAAGAAATCAAACTATGTATTGCATTAGGCAAATCTGTTGCACAAGACTTCCTTAAAGCGCTCAAGAGCAAAGATATCAGTTTGAAGACCAAGGTGCGTTTGACCCAAGTCATGGTATTGTTAGTGACCTCATGCATATGAAACTTTGGCCATGAATAAGGGAGCCGGTTGAAGAATTGATGCAGTTGAGTTATGGTGCTGGAGGAGAATATTGAAAGTACCGTGGGCTGCCAGAAGAACAAACAAATGTATGTTGGAGAGTACGGTCAGAATGTTCCTTAGAAGTCAGGATGGCAAGACTGTCTCTCATACTTCGGACATATGATCAAGAGGGACCAGTCCCTGGAGAAAGACATTGTGCTTTGTAAAGTAGAGGGTCAGCTAAGAGAGGAAGACCCCCAAGGAGATGGATTGGCACTGTAGCAGTAGCAATGAGCTCAAGCAGAACAATGACTGTGAGGATGGCACGGGACCTGGCAGTGTGTCCTTCTGTTGTGTATTGAACCAACTCAACCGCCAACAATACTTCATATGTACAGAAATGAACAGACATAAGAATATGTGTTGTAGAATTGTTTGTGATAACAAAAACTGGAAGCAACCTAAATGCCTATTAATCAGAGACTGGTTAAATCTATGACTTATGCAAATAATGGAATAACATGCAGGTATTATATAGAATATGCAACTCCAGACAGATTTGTGTCACTTAATGTTCGTTTGGGCAGTAGACAACATCACATCCATGATTCCGTAAGGTTTAATTTTCTCTTGTTTTAAAGGGAAGGAAAGCTTATTTCCTCTAAAGACCTCCGTCCCAAACCCAGACTTTTACAACCCTGGGCCATGGGTAGGAGATAGAGTTCAAGGCCTGAGGGACATCTCTCAGACTTTATGTGGTTGGCAGGTTAATATATATAGTAGGCTTCTATTTTCACATATTGTAGTCTGCTTCCATTCTTTGAAAATTAAAAGTATAATGGAGAGTGACTACCTGTGAGTGTAGAGATTTCTTTTGTGGATGCTAAAAGTGTTCTGGAATTATATAGTAGTAATAGACTGCAAAGTCGGTTTGAACCATAAAGTCAAGGGCTCAAATCCACCAACCATTCCTTAGAAACCCTATACAGGTTGAAACTGACTCGTCAGCACTTAACAACAGTGACAATGGTTGCATGACCTTATGAATATTCCAGGAATCCACTGAATTATAAACTCTAAAATGTTAAATGTTATGTTGTTTTTGTTAGCTGCCGTTGAGTCAGTCTCTTGTTCCTGGCAGCCCCACGTGTTACAGAGTGGAACTGATCTGTAGGGTTTTCTTGATTGTAATCGTTTTTCTTTTTTAAGTTTTTAACAGTCACTCTCCGATCATATTTCGTTCATTGCAATGATTACAATCGCCTCCATGCATCATCATTCAGCAGTATTTGTTGTTGTTATTTTTGATGTACACCAAAACACTCAGGAATATATAATCACTCAAACAACCAAAGAGCATACCCTGCAAGCCTGCCCCCTGGACTCCAGCACACAGCCCCTCTCCCTCCATGATTCTAGAGTCTCCAGATGCTCCATTTTTCCACATCATCATCTCTGCCTCCATCTCTGGTGTTGCGGCTTCTCTAAGTAGGGTCCCACACTCCACTCCTGCCTCCTGGACTGCAAGATCAACCACTCCCCTCTTTTTCTTACAAAATATCTACGTTTACATTTCCAACAATTGCAATCAGTCCTGATAACAATTACTCACAATTGAACCACAAGAGTCTTATTCCCATCTCCTCTCACCAGCCCCATCTAGACAGGTTGAAAACCACACATTGGAGATTCTACCGTCCCACACACCCTCTGAAACTAAACTCCCTTTTGAAAACTTGTAAGCTAGTCATTTCATGCCTTTATGTTGTTTTTGTTAAGTGCCACCAAGTTTATTCCGACCCATAGTGACCCTGTATAGGGTTTCCAAGGAGTAGCTGGTGAACTTGAACCACTGTTCTTACTGTTCAAACAACTTTGCGGTCTGACGCATTAGCCCACAGTATACCACCACCACCCCCAGCCATTTTAGGAGCCAATGTCTAAGTTGCCCATCTCTATCAACCCTATGTACAGCAGGCATGGGAATAACCTTTGTTCTGAAGATTCCTTCCCTCTTTTAAGCTACTACGTAGGTATAGGTCAAGTTCATCAAATTGTAGTGGATTACACTTTTTTTTTCTTTCTTCCTCTAGTCAAGTTCTAATCATCCAGCCATTGAAGCTAGGTCAAATGGGTACTATCTGCAAGTATGGGTGTTCTTGTACATCTCCCCTCATTTCATATCAACTGACACATCACTCGCCTCTCTAGCCCTCTGTAGCTATATCCCTGTCCATGGGCTCAGGAGTCCCCAGGTCTCACCATACTGCTGGCCATCTTGGTTGTAATCTTTATACAAGTAATTCACCCAGGACTTTCTTCTGCATTGCCAATAGTTAGGTTGAAACCACCAAACTTTTGGTTAGTAGCTGATCACAAACTACTTCCACTACTTGGAGACCTTTTAAGATAAGTGAATTATATTTCCATAAAAAGAAAACAAAACAAACAAATATGTATATATGTTAAGCTTATGTACAGAAACAAAATGGTTCTTTTAAAGGAATATGTTAAAAACTGGCAGAAGTAGTAGGTTTTAAGGAAGGAGACAAACTGACTACAGATAAAACAGGAGGGAAACTTCTTCACCATGTACACTTTTGTATGCCTTTTGAATTTTGAACCACGTTCATGTATCACCTAATGAAAAACATAATGAGATAGTGTATAAAAAGAAGAAAATGTTAATTATTAAAATCACCTTAACAGCATAAAAGTTAATTTCTACAATTTTACCTATTCCATTGTGGTTTAATTTTATTTTTATTATCAACCTACCAAATAAAGCACTCAAAGATGTGAAGAAAATTTGTGTTTTAACTAATTTCGGAAAAATGTCTTCAATAGGTGTAAACTATCAGAGAAACTGGGCCATGCTAATTAGAAGGAATTAATTGGGTAATTGCATTTCACCTACTTAAATTCCCCTGTCACCTTTAATTGGAATAACTTTTCTCTTTACTTCCAGTCCCTAAACTGTTGTGTGGTATTGATCGTGTGTGTAATGAGGTTCTGAATCCCACATAAAAAGTGGCTTTATTTCAGTGGAAGATTCCAGAAACCCTGAATGGACTAATCACAATGGAAGCAGCCTTGAGATTATAGAAGATGTAATTGAACCTGATTAGCTAGGCAGAGAATCACTTCCCCTGAACACGCTGATTAGAAGTGGTTTAGGTGGTCTTGGCCGAGAGAGGGAGGTAAATGCCCAGCTCAGGAAGTCTGTCAGTTATGCACGTATGTGATCATTTCTTATTCCTCTGCCCAGTTATTTTACTCCTTAAATGAAAATTGGTCCAGGGATATTGAATGGCTCTAGAGCTCTTAGAAAACTACATCCTGAGAAAACTAATTTAGAACCTTCCCCCCCCAAAAAAAATATTTTCCACTTAATGAAGATCAACATAAAAGGGAAAAAATTCCATTTCTTCATTTTAGTTTTAGAACAGTGAATAGAGTTGGTTCTTACTCCTTCTCCTGTGGCCTCTGCAAGGAGTGGCATAAGCATGAACGAGAGAAATTGTTGCATACGAGAGAGAAAGTATATTTACCATGTAATTGTTTTAGATACATAACCAAAGAAGATGTTGCTGCAGCCTCGATGGACAAGGTGAAGAACGACGGGGGCTATGTCCGTCTGATCACAAAGGGCTCTAAGGACCCTGCCACAAAGTAAGGACACAGTAGTATTAAGACGACTCAGTTAAGTTTATGTATTAATTTTTATAATAATGCCAACTATTTTGTGGCAACTTTGGAAGGTGCAAAGAGCTTTTGCAATATAGTAGCTCCATTTTTAAGTTTAATTTGGTCAACTGAATTTATGTATAATAGGCATGATAGTTAGCAAGTCTCCTGTCCCAGTTCCTATCAACACCATCAGGTTCTTTATCACTTTGTAAATGTGAAGATTCTGTTTCTTGTAGGCCAGCAGAGGCCAGAGTAGAACAATCATGGAATATTTATTAATAACCCCTCTCCCCTGGCAAGATGTGGGAGCCAGTACAGTTAGAGAACAGGATGCTTCAAAGCTTTAGCTGGAGTTTTACCATAAGGAGCTCGGGGGTGCCATGGGCTGTTAATCACAAGGTCAGTAGTCCAAACCTGCCAGCTGCTCTATGGGAGAAAGATGAGGCTGTCTGCTTCTGTAAAGATTTACGATCTGGGAAATCCTCAGAGTCTGCTCTGGCCCATAGGGTCACTGTGAATTGGAATGGACTTGATGGCAGTGAGTTGTTCTTAGAGGTGGTCATTCTCTAATTTCTCATTTTCCAACTTCTCCAAATAGATCACAGTGTGGTTGCTTACATAAAAATTCCCAAGAGCAGCAATGTACCACTCTCCTTTATTTGACAGGGAATAAGAGTGCTGACATACAGCTATGTCATTACCACACTGAATCACAAAACCTGGGGGACCATTTGCTGGTTATCAATATAGAGACTATTGAAGAAGATATGAAGCAATGGCAGTTTACACTAAAATTGTTGAATGAGTTACAATTAAATATTTTGTTCAATTGCAGGAAGTTTCTTGGCGATGGAACTTATGTCCCATTTCTAAATCCCTGCACAGTTCAAGCTGATCTCACTGTGAAACCTTCTACTTCTAAAGGCTATTTTCAAGCTGTGGATAAAGAAGGGAACCCACTTTGTCTTCACTGTCAGCAACCCACTGGCGAAACTAAGCAAGAGTGTAAAGTGAATGCTTGGGATTCAAGGTTTTGCTCTTTGAAATGTCAGGAGGAATTTTGGATTCGTTCTAATAACAGTTACATGCGAGCCAAAGTATTTGAAACTGAACATGGTGTGTGTCAATTATGTAATTTGAATGCACAAGAACTCTTTTTACGACTTAGAGATGCCCCTAAAAGTCAAAGGAAAAATCTTCTGGATACTACCTGGACTTCCAAGCTTCCATTAGAACAGGTAAATTATAATGTAAGCATATATGATAGCCAGACGGCGCCATTGCCCTGAGCGACTAATATGACTCAGTAGTTTGCTTTTTATAACTTTTTAAACATGGAATTCTCAAATAAATATATACAAAGTAGAGAAAATAGTAAATGTATATACCTATCACCCAACTTGAACAGTTAACAGTTTACCATTTGTATTTCATCTATCCCTCCCTCATTTCTTCTTGTGCTGTCCTGAAATACTTTAAAGTAAACACCAGACAATAATTAATTTCACCCTTAAAAACTTCATTGTGGATTTCTGGTAAGGACTTCTTTCTTTGTTTTTAATATAAGTACAGTACCTCAATACACATCATTGTTGTTGTTGTTAAGTGCCATCGAGTGGATTCCAACTTATAGCCACCCTGCATAGGGTTGGTTTGAACCACCAACTTTGTGGTTCTCAGTCCAGTGCTGAGCCTGCAGAGCCACACATGGAGTCCTTACACCTAACACGATTGTAACTCCTTGATTAAAAATAAGTCCATGTTTTCTTTTCCCAGATTGTCACAGAAAAAAAATCTCTCACAGTTGCTTTGTTTAAATCAGGATCAAAATATGATGCACACATTGCATTTGATCAGTATGCTTTATTCTTTTGCTGTAATCTGTAGTAGGACCTCTTCCCTTTTTTATATCATTGACTAGTGAGTAAACTGGATTATTTTCCTGTAGGATTTCTATGTTGTGGGAATGTCTCCTTGTGTACTTACTGTATTCTTTGACATGTTTTTCTATCTCTCTAGATTTCTTGAATAATAGTTGTAAGATCTAGAGGCTTAATTAGACTCTAACTCAGTCATTTTTTATATTGATTTTAACCAATAGAAAATCACACATGAAGAGGTCCCTAATTTCTGGTTGTTCCATTTTTCATGATAATTAATATTGAATGACAGGAGAAAAGATAACCTCAAAAATGTCGATTACAATAAGAAGGCAACTCAGATATGGTCATCAGGTTATAAAGTATAAATTTAGTAGAACAGTTCGTCAAAAATATCTTCCTTAGCATTATTATTAATATCACATTGATTTTCAAAATCAGTTTGATTTCTAATCTCATTATCTAATCAGTTGTAAATTTCAAACTAGAGCAAAATTTTTGTAGTGTGCTGAATTAGAAAAGCATCACTCCTGAATAAATTCTTGCCGTTTAGATAAATCATACCTTTTTATTGATCTACTGTTGCTGAATTATGATAGAATGAATTGATAAGCATTTGCACAAAGATGAATCAGCGTGTCTGTGAGAGCCAGGGAAACACCATATTTCTCTGATGACATCCAGAGTTCTTGAAAAACTCTGGTTTAATTGGGAAGGGTGTATTCCTCCCATCCCGGGGGGATTTTGGCCAGAGTCCAGTAACTGCTGCCCCAGTTCAGAGACTTCCAAAGACACACCAAGATATGACTCAAGGACACGTTCAAAACAGCCCATCTAGGACTTCCCCAATAACATAGCATACATCTTATACAAGGTTGTCAGAGCCTTCAAAGTACCATTGGACTAAGAACAATAAGGCTCGGTCTGAGAGGGACATTGAAGAGTGGCCCCAGGTGATTTCCTGTAGAATGATCAGAGAAGACCAAAGAAGCACATTCAGAATGCTCAAGTCTGTCACACTGGAGACCACTCAGAGGAGAAGAATTGGTGATGACAGAAGGCAGAAACAAAAGGGATTTTTTTTTTTTTTTTTTTTTGCTAAGAATATGCCCTTTGCCTGATGCACAGGACTGCCTTTTGTAGTTGCTTCTAAAAATGTCAACTTGAAAAATAAAAAAATCAGTACATATCTAAGAGAGTTTGAAAAGGTCTATACAAAAAAGTAAGGAAAGCTATAACATAGTCCAGCTGGACAAATCTGGCTGCTTCAGCTTGATGACTCATGAAGCTTCTGGATTGCTCATGGGCCAGGTAGTACTTACTGACCGGGTCACTGTGCCATTCCACTGGCCTGACAAGTGTCCCTAACAGTGCTTTAGAATGACATCAGAGGTGCCCATGGTTAGCAAACCTGAAATTGGCTAATTATCATTTATTCTTTGCCTAGGGAAAAAAAATAACCTTCAGCCAGCCTCATCTTTGTGATAGTTCAACAACTGCACAGCTCTAGTATCCACTGTTTTAATAATCTTGGATAAAATGTTAAAACACATTCCCATTTAGTATAAGTCATCATGGGTGAAGTATAAAGTATACACAAGGGAACTGCAAAAAGTTTGTGGAAAATTCCATGACCTTTGACTTCCGTTTTTCCATGAAGTTTCTGTAGCTCCTTCTTGTATGTATATATTTAGAGAGAGAGAGAGAGAGAGAGAGACTGGCTTACATAGTAACTGCTTCATTCCAAAATAAAGCAAAGATAGTTGTTTATGCCAATATGCAAGTTAGAGGTATGTTCTAGAAGTTTCAACCCAGCCCATGTAACTTGGGAAGTTCTCTGGTGAAGAGTTAGGAACTCGGGGTAATAACTGTTAATACTTAAGCTGTCATTGATCATATGACAAATGCATTTAGGTCAACAAATAAAGATCGCTTGGGTCGGCAAAATCAAAAGCTCTTAATTTCCAATATGTTTGTATTCTTTTCTTAGTTTGATTTAGGGAATATGTATATAACCCAAAGGAACAGAAGCAACTGATTTTTTCCAAACTGTCAGGAGTCTTGGTATTTTATACTTGTATGGAAATGTTTTCAAAATGAGTTATGTAAAAGGTGGGATGGGATGGAAAGCTTTTTCAGAAACCTATGTTATTGCCTTCAAATTGCTAACCCAGAAGTTTTTTGTTTTTTTACTTACAATAAAAGCTATAAAAAGCTATACTAATGTATTTTTTCCTTGTGATTTTGCTGTGTAAATATGATTGCACAGGGCACAATAAACGGTTCCCACTGTGTGTGTAGAAAATTGCTGATGTTGTCTTTGTCCTGCAGCTAAATGACATGATAAGAAACCCGGTAGAAGGCCATTTCTGGCAGGTGGATCACATCAAACCAGTCTACAATGGAGGAGGCCAGTGTTCCTTGGACAACCTTCAGACACTCTGCACTGTCTGCCACAGAGAGGTCAGTGATGCACACATAGGTGTGATTCCACTGTAGATTTCAAATGGAACATTTTCCAACAGGTGTAGAAGATTATGTGTACGAATTTACATCCCTGATCTGACTTAATCACACCTGCATTTTATTCCTTCTATCACCTAACCCTTGAATTTTGTCTTAGAAAGATACATGGGTTCAATTTCCCATGCTCTTCAGCCATTCAAAATCTTTATCATCCAAAATGGCTGCGTGATAGTCTATTGAGTAAATCTCTACCGTAGTTTATTTCCTGTACTGATGAGGTTCCTGTTGTTTCCATCTATAGTCACTCTTATACATAAAGCTGCCAAGGACATGTTTATAGATCCAACTGTTTTCTACATCCTGAAGTTTTTCCTTAAAATAGAGTCTCAGATGTAAAATCACTGAGTCAAAGTGTTTGGCTATATTTTGAGACTGTAGGAATTTGTCACCAAAGGATCACATCAGGTTATGTTCTGCCAGCTCTACAGTGAACAAGAGTACCCACTTAACTGCATTCTGTGAGGAGAAAAAATGACTTGTCATCATTTACTAAAGAAACTGATGTATTTTAAAAATAGTAATCAATTGTATGTACTCTTTTGAGTACTGTTCAGATACTGATGGCCTCTTCAGTTGCCTTCTTGTAATATTTAGACTCCACAATCACTTTGCAAACATAATTTTACATAAATGGGGTCATATCATATAGGCAGTTTTGTTTTCTTTTAGTTCGAACCTTCTTTTTTCTCCCCACCTCTTCTCCCTGGATCACTTAATGCACATGCACTTCTCTAAACCAAAGCCCACTGCCATCGAGTCGGTTCTGACTCATAATGACTCAAAAGGACAAAGTAGAATTGCTCCCTAGAGTTTCCAAGACTGTAAATCTTTATGAGAGCAGAAAGCTTCATCTTCCTCCCACAGAGCAGCTAGTGGGTTTGAACCACCGACCTTTCAGTTAGCAACCCAACATTTAACCCACTGTACCCCCAGGGCTCCTTCATGGACTTCTCAGCTATGCAAATTATTATCAAATTAAGGGCTTATAAAAGAATTGAAATACAACAAAAGAAAAATTAGTCCTGGTGCACTATAGGATAAGCACTGAATTGCTAACCTCAGCTCAGCAGTTCAAACCCACCAGCCACTCCTCAGAAACCCTATGTAAGTCGTTATGAATTGGAACCTACTCAACAGCATTTTACAACAACAATTACTTCTTGAGGATCCCTGATAGCATAGTAGGTTACTAACTGGGTTGCTAACTGCAGGGTCAGAAGTTCAAAATTATTAGCTGCTCTGCTAAAGAAAGATGAGACTTTCTGCTCCCATAAAGGTTTACAGCCTCAGAAATCCCATACAGGGTCATAATGAGTCAAAACTGACTCCATGGTGCATAACCACCACCAGCACCAATTCCTTTTTAGTGTTCATGAAATATTTGATGTCTAAGAGTGAACCAAGTCTCTAGCTCTCATCTGTCTCATCGTGCCCCTCTGCATTGGTTTGGCTATTTAGTTGGGAATGGTTTCTGGACCCAGAAAATCGAAAGTGGGGCCTTTATTTCTTAACCATCTTTATTGAAAAGACATTTTTCAAAAAAATAAGCTAAGTGTACTTCTGGTGTTATCCGGGGACTCTGGAAAATCCAAGATGGCATATGAGGTCCACTTGAGTGAGAACCATGGCCGCCCTCAGTTCCCAGATGTGGGATTCATGGTTTCATTAATGAGACTCCCCCAAAGCTCTGTGCTCACCTCAGAATCTGGTCCCAGTGAACCTAAGGCCAGTCCCGGGCAGCTGGTGCCTCTGCCTTGTGGTATTGTTGCTGGTAAGTACCGTCAAGGCAGTTCCGACTTGTAGCAACTCTGTATAGGATTTCTAAGGAGTGAGGTGGGTTTCAAAGGCCAACCTTGCAGTGAGTTTGTAGTTAGCAGTCCAGTGCTTATCTTACAGCACCACACCAGGACTCCTGCCTTGTGAGATGGGAAGCCCCCTAATGGCAAAGCACCGGAAAGTGAATGTGGTGATAATGTAGATGTTTTTTTCCAGACTAACAGAATACAAAGATCTGTTGAGTTTCTCTAGCCAGTGATTTTCCCCCCCTAACATATGTATGCATGTGTATTTTTAACTTTAGAGAACTGCCAGACAAGCCAAAGAAAGAAGCCAGGTGAGAAAACAGTCTGTGGCATCAAAGCATGGATCAGACATCACCCGATTTTTGGTAAAGATGTGACGTGTATCTGAATAGATGACAAGACCAGCGGTCTACATGTGGAGGAGTTCAACACAAATTTTTTTCACATGTGTCTATTTTTTAAGAGTGAGAATTGTCAAGACAAAATGCAAAAGTCAATTTCCTTTTTAGATTAAGCATTTTGGGAGCTAAAAAAATAGCTTTCAAAAGTACCTCAAGAAACGGAGATCACTAGTTCTGTGTTCTTGTTGATTTCACACAGACGTTCAGTTCTGTTTCAGCAATGTTTTGTTAAGCCTTCCTTTTCTCCTCATATACCTTAATCACTGTATGATGCATAGATACTGTTTCTGAAAAATATAGTTTTAAGTACCTGAAAACTGCTGCTGGATCAGTACTGATGATGGACTCTTGTAGTTATCAGTGGAGTGTTGCATAAGGACAGTTTTACAGGCAAATCATTGTTTTTTAGAAATTCTGGGCCAATTCTGCTAGGTATACAAGAGAGACCCTTGTTCACTAAATGGCTCCAAAATGGTCTTGAGTTGGGGTTGTTGCCTTTTTTTGCTTTGAAAAAATGCTTTTTAAAATAAATTAAGTGGGCTTATGACAGTTTGAGGGGTTCTGGGGAAAGTCATTGTTAAAACTTTTCAGTTTTTTTTAACAATAGTTTTAAGTATAAAATGCCATCTGAACTTCATTTGTTAGCGTTTTTAAAGTGCATTAAAACAAAGCACCCTTTGTCTCTTGGTTATCATTTTCTGACTTTAAAATCCTGTCTTACTGCAAATGTATTACCGGTACCTCTTTTTAAAAGAATGATGATAAAACACTTTACAGTAAAACATGATCAGATAGATGGACACATTATAAACTACAATGACATTAAAATGTAATTGTTACTTTTTACTCTGAAAAGCTCAAGAATGTTGATTTCCTTGACATGTCATTTGAAATGCTTTTTTTACAAAAGAAACAGCAGAAAGAGAAAAATAGTGATGATGAAAGGAAACCAGAGCATAATCCTGCACTTTGTCAGATTCATGAGAGTGAAGGGTCTGAACTGCATGAATCCAGATCCAAGCATAAACAACCAGTAAAATCAGTTACTGTCAAGTTGGTTGTAACTCATGGTGATCTCGTGTTACAGAGTTGAACTGTACTTTAAAGGGTTTTCAATGATTGCTTTTTTTCAGAAGTAAATCACCAGGTCTCTTTTCTGAGATGCATCAGGGTGGACTCAAACCCTCAACTTTTTAGATAACACCCAAGCTCCTTAACAGTTTACACCACCCTGGGACTCAAAGAAACTATTCCAAATACATAAGTCGCCTGTTAGTGAATGTTGTTTGGCTATGAACCTCTTTAGCTTCAGCATTTTCTGATTTTAATTAGTAACTGGTATTTTACAGCATATAGGACTTCTAAGAAATATTATTTAGCATTATAGGATAAGCACTAGGCTGCTAACTGCAAGGTCAGCAGTTCAAACCAGCCACTCCTTGGAAACTCTACGCAGGGGCCCTCTGTGAGTTGGAATTGATTTGATGGCACTTAACAACAACAAAAAAGGTTATACAATCATGAATTTTCCTTCTAGAATTGTCTTTGTGTGTATAATTAGATCTCCCTATGATATAATATGATGAAGTTTGTTTTATAAATTAGGCTGGGCCTTCTTTCTGCTTTGCTGGCTCACATGCTGCCCATGTCACAGTGGCCAGGATGCAGTAGAGAGCAGAACCCTGTGTCTCCTCCAGACCGGGACATCTAACAATGGAGAGCCTGGTCTAAGGTCAGATCAGTGTTACTAGCCATTTTGATCAGATCCAGATGGAAATTCTAGAGAGAATTCTCCGAGGTAGGAGTATATGGTAGTTTGAGATTAAAGGATCCAGAAAGATGTCTCTTAATGCAGGTTTCAAAATCCCGACTAATTGAAAACATTGTAAGGAACAAGCATTTGCTTGCCACACAGGCTGCAGACTGTCTTATCCCCACCTTTCCTGCCATGTCTCAAGAGCTGTGTGTCCTACACATGGAGCATGGACCTCTGACAGTTGGTACTGTAGGGCCACTTGAGGGAGGTGGTTCTTCCGTGTTCACAGTGGGAATGAGAAGCGTAAAGAAGGGGAGGTCCTGACAGTGCAGTGTGCTCCCCTGGAAGAAAATCACTACTCCCATGTGGGAGACTTAAATTGTGTGAAAAACACTAGCGGGAGGGTATGAAGAAGGAAAACGAATAGACCCAAGCCCAGAAAAGACTCAGAAGTTGCTAGATGGAGCTTGGGCTTTGCAAAGACTCTTGGGAAAGAGCTGGGAAGTGAAAGCAGGGAGACCGTCCACAGTACTTTTTGGGTGCATGGACTAGGGCAGGCCCTGCCTTTACCCTGGCCTGGGTATAGCGAGTATCTTGCAGCTATGGGTGTGAGGACCTCCTAAACGGATGAACTCACAGACAGACACTATGTGTGCTGCCTGAGGATTCTCCCAAGAAACAGGACCAACTAGAGAGAGAAGCTGATTTATGTTAAAGACTTGGCTCACATGATTGTGGGGGGTTGACAAGTCCAAAATCCATATGCCTGCCGTTCTGTGTCTCAGAATGATGTGAAGAGTGAAGAAGTTCTGACAAAATGTCTGTTTATATTTTAGAGACAGAATACACCCCAGAAAAACTGTTTTAGCTCTTAAGGACTTCAACTGAATAATTGAGACCTGCCTATATGGGCTTTACCTCAGTCCAACTGATGCAATCACATGCAATGGCTATTGGTTAACCCAAACAGCTGGACAGTGTAGCTTGGCCAAACTGACACATAAAATGAACTGACATGCACACCAAGTGTGTGCTTTCTGGTATGTTTGCTGTCAGTGGGTGACGTACGTCTCCAGACAGCCTCTCAAGACTGAGAAAATTGCTTTTAGCAGCCCCAGAGCCATTCAGCACAGCTTCATGCACATTTCTTGCTGAGGTTTTCCTTAGCAAATGAATATCTCTCCTTATTTTCTTTTCCCTGAAAAGGAAAAAAGACTTTCTTCACACAAGTCTTGGTAGTAACAAATGGAATCCCTTCTTCAGAACCTTAAGTGAAACATTTAAAATATAATTTCTTTTAGAAATAAAAATCGGTAGCACTTCCAACCACATCCTTGAGGTCTTGAGAATAAATTGGAAAAATTCTGTTTTCTTACAGGACATGGAATCATAGATGTCAAACATCAAAGATAGGTTATAGAAATAATATTGCATTTTCTGTTTCATGTTATTAACCTGTTTCTCAGCCTCTTACTCTTTTGAATTGGAAAATCGTGAGCTTCTAGACACCACCCCATCTGTTTAAATAGCCAACCACCAGAACATCCCATCATATCTCAGACTTGTCACTTGCTTTGCATTGTTAAGGCCATTTTGCCAGTGTAGTTGTATTCATCTGTTCTACCAACTGGGCTGCTAACTGCAAGGTTAGCAGTTCGAATCTACCAGCCACTCCATAGGAGAAAGATGAGGCTTTTTGCTTCTGTAAAGATTTACAGCCTCGGAAACCTTATGCAGACCACTGCTGCTGTTATTTTTAAAACTGTTGAGAGGTTTGGAGATAAAACTATTATGCCTCTTTCCTCGCATCAAATATGCGGCCAGTTAGGGAATGAAAGACAGGGCTGAGACTGATGGAAATGAACGTTTTATTTAGGGTTATGGAGTTGAATTGGAGAGTATGGTGTGGATCTGCCATCAAGTTGTCCAATGCCAGGTAGCACTCACTCACGTCCATTGGGTGCCCTGGACATTCCCTGGCAGGGAAGAAAGTAACTCATCTACCTTGGAGGGAAGGCACACTTACCCTGAAACCCAGCCCACAGCCACTAATGAGAAGAGCATGTCCTGTCCTGTCCTCAGAAGGTGGGCCAAGGCCTCCCCAGTTCTGAGGGAGAGAAGGGATGGAGGTAGATTCTCATGCTTCGTGCTGCCTCAGAAGCAGGAGTCACGAGTGAACCTTCATGCCCGTCAGCAAAGCTTGAAGTATCACTGTACTCATGGTTCTTGAGTAGCATGACATTCAAGGAAGACTTCAAAAAGTCTGGGAAAATGGCATTAAAAGATAAGGGAATTTTCCCACAAGTCTTTTGAAGCCCTCTGGCATCAGTCCCTAGTGAAATACCACTGCCCATCTGCTGTACTATCCTTGGGACCTGGATATTTACCACACACTAGAGTCACCTGCTGCTCTGAGGTTGGACATATCCAGTGTACAGCTGAGACCCAGTCTGTGGTCCCTGTGCCTGGAGCAGTTCTGTGGGAAGCCACGACACCGCCTTTATGTCATCTCGTGAGGAGCTTCTGCACCTGGGAGACACTGAGCACCCATACTTTGTTCAAATCAATCTGGCCAATTTTTATAAAGTATTTGTGACTGTAAAGGTAGCAGTTTTGTAACAAAAAGAGGGAAGTAGTTAATCTTGCAGTCCAGAAACAGGACCCTAGGACCATCAAAGGAGAAGAGCATAAGCAGAATGTGGGACTCTTTTCAGAGAAGCAGCAACACGGGAGATGGAGGCAGAGATGAGGACATGGAGAGAGGGAGCAGCTAAGGGCTCTCGACTCATGGAAAGAGAAAGGCTGTGTGCTGGCAGCCAGGAGACAGGCTTACAGAATGTGCCCTTGGGTTGTTTAAGTGATTATAATTCCTGAGTGTTTTTGTGTACACCGCCCCCCAAAATAAAAAAAGACAACAGAGAGAATAGAAGCACACACTGTTGAATGAAAAAAAAAAGCAAAGAGATTATGTTGAAAATTATGTATTTGTCTATTCTAAAAGTTGATTAAGATAAATTATACAGCCAGGGGGAAAAAACCATATTTGTGAGTTGTGACAACTAATTATAATTAACATTAAAGGAGTCCTGATGTGTATAAGCACTCAACTATTTTCTACAAGATTCAAACCTATGAGCAATAACACTGAACAACAACAATATTAAAGTGAAATGAAGAAGCAACACAGAAACACAGTTGCTTTTGAGTCTGTTCCGATTCT